ATGATAAAATTACTTTTTCGTATTCTAAAGAAATCATTGGAAAATTAAATAAAATTAGGTAATTTGTCATCGTTTGAGAATTTAACAAATCCATTGCAAAACTAGTGCGTTACCAGTCCATTATTGGCAATACCGCTAATGTGTTTAATAACAAAGGCTTAATACTTGCCTTGACATCAAATTAACTCTCAGCGGCAAATGTTAGCTTTAATTTCAAACTATGAACACAATAATTTTTTTCTTATAAATTAGTCAGCTGCTCCGAGAACCGAAGCAGGAATTCTTACAAAGAAATTGAAATATAAGGTGTTAAAGTTCGTCCTTCTAAGTATTTAACAAAGCATATATTAGTGTTGTGTAATCCAATAATACTGTTGCTTTTGTCGTATCATATGATAATAATGAATAAGTCATTGGAGTACGTATTCTTTAAAAAATATGAATGCTAGTTTTACCTATCTGATTACTATTAATTCACTTTAAGAACTAAATTTTTTATCTTAATCATAATTTATCGTAAGGAAAGGTGGAACTAAACATTAACGGGACGGCACCCAATGAGCGGAAAACAGAACGTATGACGTCCGGCAAACAATTGGTCGATGACACAAACAAGGGTCTTACCGGGATCTGATATTAAAACACAATATGAGGTAGCAAAAGCACATAGATTTATTACCTTTATATACCCAGACGAAGGTAATTTCTAGTTATAGACGATGATAGCGCTATAATATTCGTATGAAGTGATTTATGTCATTAAATCAATATAAATTTTCGCATAATAAGGTACAGATAAATATTTTGCCAACACCACAGGAGCTCTATCCGCAAAATCAAAACGGTATCCATACTGTAAACAATATATAATGGAGTTTAACCGACGCCATAAATAATCGAGATTGGTGTCAGCCTTTTGTAAATGCTATGTAGTACAGGTTCACACGTAATGATTTCATTAACAAGTCAAAAGAAGTGAAAGCAAGGACATCAAGATTTAACAATAGAACAGGTCAAAACGTTAATACATTTTTTTGAGACCACATCTATACAATGGTACCAAACACATCACAGATTGCTATAATAACAAGCATTGTACATCAAGTTCGGTGGTGTATTACCGTAGTTAAGTATGTAGATACCTTCCGGGTGTACCGGTAGTGAATTGTTATGCACGTTCGTCATGCTAAATGGTGTCGCGTAAACTTAAACATGTCGCTTGTTGCAGTATTGTCGGTGTCTAATTTACAATCTCAATATTGAATATAATGATATTGATATCTACAGGCATATTATACTAAAGGTAACATTTTTTGCAGACATCGCACGCTTACCGGTGCGGCTACTACGGACTTGCAGTTGCAAATAAATTAAAATTCTACGAAAGGCCATTGCGTAAAGATAGTCTCATAAATAAAAAAAAGTTCAGTGAATACAGTTAAAAGATGTTTCACGCATGTACTTAAATTGTACAAAAATTTTGTTGTTTGCAATCAGTATCGCAATTACCAGACAAATTCCTTATTTCTCCACATAATCCTTTCGAGTAACTGTTTTCTTTTTAACCAGAGTATACTTTGTAAATACCTATGGGACAAAGATCGATACTTCCTTACCAACAGTAAAATAAATGAAAAACGCTTAGCGGAGATTTGCGTGGTGTATTTTTTCAAGGCAAGGTCACTAGAAGGAAACCTCATGTTAGCAAATAACCGCACAATGTTTATTATTGAAACAATAAATAGTACAGTTTGAAGCAAATTGCATTGTTTTCTTTCATTATAAGTCGTATCGGTAAAGTAAGCCAGAGTGATTTTCGTTTTTAGAGTGGTAGTTCGTAAAAAATAAGTATTATATAAAAGAAATCGGCGTGCACAAATCATTGAAATTTTTGTGACTGTTTGTAATTTTGGCAAGATGCACATTTGTTCGATGGGCTGTTTTGTTAAAGAATTTAATCTCATACTGAGGAGATTGGTCTCTGTAATATGTGTACCGAGTACGAATTTTGGTGTTTACAGTTAAACCGTTCCATAAACTAATATTGATGCAACCTTACATTTTATGCACCTATTTCTCTTAATGAACTAAATTCTCTCTTCTCTCTCTCTCTCTCTTTAAAAAAGACAACTCCCGCATTAGGAATAAATCCTGTGTCGCGGGGGACTTTACAAACGTACATGAAACGGACACAAAGAACACTTAGACTCAGAACCACAATTTGTGGATCATACAAAGTGTCGTCCCATGTGGGGTTTGAACCCACAACACTCGGCGTAGTAGGAAGCGGCGTGGCGACCGCTTAAACCACTACGCCATCCGTGCAGTCGTATACTGTTATTTGTAGCGATTGAAGAAATATATATAGCTTACTTATTCTTGTCTTGATTTCTTTCAAGGCTTTTAATTACCATTCAGTTCCGGTTAATCATTCTCACAGTTACCGTTTTTTATCAAGGTAGTTCTCCTAATTCCGTTATTTACAGATGTCTAGTTGTTTGGCTAGCGGAAGTCAAGCTTCTGTAATTTTGAAATTTTTATTTATTTATTATTTTTTATTCTATTTTCTGTCCCTATTTTCATCTCCAGGGCGCAATCCATGATAGCAACAAAGTATATTGATAACAATAATATTTAAGGAGACAACACTCTTTAAACAAAAATTAAGGATAACTTTTACCATTTGTTTCAGAATAAACCAATATAAATACTCAAAATTTTATGAATCGTATTAGAAACAGCTATACTAATACATTTAGAAATATTTAAGCATATGAGTGGAATCAAAATCACAAGACGAGATTTCCAGCTGAATTCTTTCGCACGTTTCTACTTGTCTCAAATCTTTAGCAATCTTTACATACATATGATTATTAGGTGAAGGGAATTCCTTTCCTGAATTTTCAATAAAATTTCACTCATGAAGGAACGAGAAATTTAAGTTACAAAACGATAGAAAAGGTGCTATAAGCTAAAATTATTTGAAAGATTTTAAATATGTGTGATGTGTCTAGTGATTGCCGTGTCTGAAAGAAATTAGGTATGTGGAATAATAGCTTAAGTTCTGCTGGTCGAAGAAACAAAACAACAAAAAAAAATATATCTGCATGATTTATGATCGTATTCCGACCACTACACGATCTCTAGTAATAACAAGATTATAAAGTAATGTTAAACAACGTAATTACTTTCAGTTTACGGTATAACTAACTGCATAAACATAATTATTAGTGGGACGAATGCTAAATGGGACAACAAATTACATATAGTTATGTTGTCAGTTTATTCTAGGTAGTTACTGGGGATTTATTTTACCTACAACCGTTTAAGACATTTTACAAAATGCTTATGTCCTAATATACATTAGCTTCAATTAACACTTAGTTAAATTTATTTTCGACTAAAAATCGATTTGCTTCGGGATGCGGAATGTTTATGAAGAATTATAAGTAAAATGAATAGTTTCTTTTATGATATTTCATACGCGAGTATTTTCGCACCTGCTCCGTACGTGAAGTTATGCGCCTCATGGACTAACACGCCACATGCATACTGATTACATATTTAAAATGTTTACAGCTAAGATAATGTCGTTCTGCTGCAGCAATATTTTTCAAGCAGCCATTTTGCACTAGATTAGGGAAGAGTACAAAATACAATCAGAAAACCATGTAACCAAAAAATTATTTTAAAATAAGAGGTGACCGCTTTTATAAATAACCACAAATAAAAGGTTATAAGCATACCAACTTTCTCCAACTTCACGTTCTATAATAAAAGGTGACGTAATTTGGTGCATAAGCATTAAAACTTCCTTTCTACGGTCAGTAAAGTGTAATCGATTGGAACCTTTCTCAAAGAGATAAGATATTGTTGAAACAGCGGCAGGACGGCGATCAGAGATAAAAGTATGTTAGAGTTGAAATCATGTTATAAATTTTATCAAGTTCTAAATAAGGCATAACAAACAATGGATGAGGTATATTGAATATTTGTTATGAGAAATAGTTGCTGGACAACGAATTTGAAGAGAGAGAAATTTTATTATAATTATTAAGCACTGGACACCTGTGGAACAAACTTAAGAGATTAAATGTTGTAATTTTATAATGTCCGTGAGGTAAGTTCAACACATGGCTTTGAGATTAAGTCAGTAAGGTCACAAGTCAACTGTTGATTTAATGACAGATGGATAGAATGGTCAGATGACAAGCTCAATGGAAAGTGGATGAAGAATGCTAACAACCAGTCCTCTCACCATCCCGGGAGACATATGTCCAACAGTGGAAATCTTAGAGCTGAGACAATGCTGATATTCTTATCAACATTATTTGCTAACCTAGTATTTATGAGTAACATTAGTTTGATAGTTTTCTTTTATTGCCACAAAATAAATTTTAGCTTTTGTTCATTGAGAGATAACTACATAAATATAGTCTGTAAGTCTTTTTCTTAGTTTAAAATATTGTGTCTAAAAAATTTCTATTGGTTACATTTGTGGGTGTACATACAAGCTTCAAATCAATCTGTGGTAATATGTTTGCTACATACTTTCCCTGTCTTAATATTTTACACTTCTCCTTTTTAATTGTAACAAATAACAAATACTCATTTTTTTTCAATGGGTAACAAAATGATATTACAATAACTATACTATGTAGGTATACTACTAAACTATGTGAGTTACGAATCATGAGTAATTCCTAGTGGTTAATTTAATTATTACTATGAAAATAAAATATTTTTTACTTGAACAAACAGTTCATTTTAATTTTGCAATTGCTGGAGAATAAGGAAAAACAAACTGTCTGTAACTAAACATTGCTGCAAAACTATTCATATTAAAATGTTTTCTGTGTTCATAATGCATCCTGCAAGTAAATAATAAGCTGTTCCTAGCACTGTTTTACAATCATTGTGGAAAATAACAGAAATGACAACTAGATAAAAAAATATTTAAAAAAAAGGTATAAAGGATAGAGTAATATAAAATTGCTTACCATTTCGAGATACATCTAGCTCGACTAAATTTTCAAAATTTTGTATATCTGCTGGAAGTTTGTGAATTTCATTATCACTGAGGCCCAGTCTTCTTAGCCTATGAAGTCTGAAGAAGTTCTGCAACAATGTATTGACATACATTAGGCTTTTTCAGTTTTACTTAATGTAAGATCTGTCTTTGCTCAGTTACGTTTATATATTTTAAATTAAGCTGTGGCACTGACTATGGCAATAAGGATATTGTTAGTTATAATGATCACACATCTTGATGACTTTGGGATGTTTAAAACACAAATTTATTTTATGTAGACTTATTTGCATATATATCTTGAAGTAAAGATAATATAATATTATATATATAATATTAATAATAGCTTTTAATATGGATTCCAACCCTAGAATTCACTGTAGAATAAACTAATTTCTTCATGGTCCCACATTAAACAAAACTATATTCTGTTTCAATTTCACACTTTACCATGAAACTAAACTATAACTAAAAACTTGCTTTGTTTTTCTTTCAGAAGAGATAGGTGCTGATCCTCAAAATTTTATGATTTGTGCACAAATTTTATTTCACTATTTATCATGACACCAACACACTCAATTCTAACAAAATTTGTACAATTGAGATCTTTAACATAAATGATGTGATATATATTAAGGTTTTCTTAATATGCCATTAAGGGAAAGTAGTTAATAATATAGCTTTCAAGCATACAGACAAACATATATAAATATGTGTAGAGAAGTCTTAGTACAACTTTTTTAAGCTCAATTTTATACATGATGCATGTGAAATTTTGTATACTTTAAATGTCTAAGAAGACGAAGAACAACAGCCTAAAATTACCACATTATAAAATCATACCCTATCTTTGAAATTCAACCACTAGGTATACCTACCTACTCTAGTTAAATATACAATTTATATAAGAATGTGTATACTGTGTGGTGACGGATTAAGAATATGTCATCACCTCTATTCAACCTGTAGGTGTCTAAAGAGCCGACTAAGGGAACTAACTATGCAGGACAACTGCAAAGAGAAGGAAATCTTGAAACAAACCCTATAAGGACCTGTCTGGCCAGTGTGGTATAGAAGACCAAAACCTCTTTTTTAAACAGAGGCCTATGTCCAGGCAGTGTACTATTAAGTTGATGTGATGTGATATGAATTAAGATGTAATTGTTTAGTAGATTAAAACTAGAACAGAACTTTAATGTTTCATACTATTTCCAAGGGGCACCTAATTTGTCTGACAAAACTTAAATAAGTGATAAAAGCTATATGAAAATGTCCATGACTTGATTGATTCTATGTGAAGCCTTATAATTATTATATGAGAAATAAGATTCTAACTTTATTTAAAAGTCAGCAAAACATTCATTTAATTTTATAAGTTATATTCAGGAATAATTACTTATCGTCATCTTGTATAGAAGGATGTCATGTATAGAAAACCTAACATTCCTAAATGCCAACAATTTTGATGCACTGACAATTTTATTTACATTGTGTGCTGGCTATGTTAATTCATATCTTAATAAAGTTACAAAAAAAATGGGATTTTTTTGCGCCAAGTATGATACACAATATCTATCAATAACAACAATAAGACGTACTGATATTATTTACACCTAGGCAGTGATAAGGTGAACGCCCACGAGTGAAGTGATCAATTTATTTAGGTTACGATAAAACTCACCTTCGGCAGGTCTCTGATATGATTGGCATCCAAAAAGAGCTCTTCTAAACTTCTGGAATATCTCAAAATGTCTTCAGGTACTGTTGGCAACGAGCAATGCCGCTTGTCGACACATTCCACTTGGCGATTACATTTGAACAAAGGTATACATCGAAACATGTTGGACACTACACTTCATACAAACTATGACTGAAGGTATCACTACAACCGCACATATTTGAGCACTTATAATATTGTAGCACTATTTCCACATTATAAAATTGATAACGATATCAAAATAATCCAAATAACAGAAGTTACACCTCACCCTACAAAACGAAGCCACAAACTGTCAGGGTTGCCATACGGTTAGCATAAGTAGAAAGTATAAAAAAACTATTTTTTTACACAAATCTACTAATATCCACAGAGTATGGGAAAAGTACGTCTAATACTAATGAAAAGTTCTCATTCATTAGGCATGTAATACCTAATAATTATTTCTCATGGATACCTACTTAAAGGCTGAGTACACTTTGAATAGTGTTCAGCCAGGACCCGCAATGCTCAATTGTAGGCCAAAAAGTCGGAGGTGTTTACACATTGGTGCATAGCTCATTGTTGCCTGGCGCACCATGCGCACATGGTGAGGCCGAAGGCACCAACAACTTAGTGCTTGTAGTAGGTGTAGATAGGAAAAAAGGTAGGGATGGGTTCGATGGGATGGAATTGCGCCTGGGTGTTTCTGTTATCTCTGTTTCGTAAGGAATCAGATCTAAAACAGGCGGCAACCATGAGAAGGATGACACCCAGACTTGCCATGGGGATCTACACCGCTGTTCAGGCGATCTTGGCCTATTGGAGCACACCCTAACCCATCCTGTTCTAAGAGTATAATATTTACATAAAAATTGTTAAGATAATTCACTTTATAAACAGTTTAAATCTTATAACCATCATTCATGTATTATTAATAGGCGTGCAGGATCTGCCGTTCTTCCTTAGAAAACAAATAGCTACTCTAAGCCTACCTGATACTTTGGTATGGTTACAAAAACAATTGTTATTATTGACTTCTGTGAACAAATCCCCTGATATTAATGACTAGCTAACTCTCAAAAGAAATATTTTTTCTCCGTTTTTGTTTACAGTTTTATTGATGCTCGGCTCCTATTGGTAATAATAAAATATTTTTTCGATTCAAGCCCGAAGTTCCTGATTTTAGCGCTTTCAACCAAACAAAAATTTAAAAAACAATCAAACTGAAACACCAGTGGCTGTTTTTAGGGTGAACAACCCAACCGTAGCGCTATCCCCGACTCTGGCGACACCTCTGGCACGTGACCAGAGTAAGGTAAGACCAGTGTCGACCATCGACTTCTCTTCTTTGAGGGCAGCAATGCCCGTACCTGCGAGGCCCAGTCAGGATAAATCCGGCTGGAGCCCGGTAAGGACTAAGAAGAGTCCGACAAGTCCGAACCAGTCCAGATAGACCCGAAATGCCAACAGGGCGAAAAATGAATATCTTAGTAAATATCGAAAGTTTGATATGCTGGTGCAAACCGGCCGTAGCCGCATTGCGGTCCTGCCGTACATCTGCCCCCGGGCGGTAGCGGCTAGCAGGAGCAAAGCGGATCTATAAATATTGCATTTGAAGATGTCCTGTAGACTCAGTAGTATAGTCTTTACACAATACTAGAGTAATTATATTTTATTATAATTAGTATGTCTAAAATAAATTATGATAAATTAAACATCATCAAAAAGTATAAGAAATAGTCTTGTTACACATTTTTCAGTCCCGCTCCTCTCCGCTCAAACGCGCGATAAGGAATTTCCTTCCAAAACTGGTTTTGTCTAAATTAAAGTAGTAAAAAGCAGTAGTAGGAAGCTGTCAGGTAAAATCAGATATATGATAAAACTGTTCCATCCGTGATATCGAAAAGTATGTTCGTATAATCTGATATATTGTCGCCTCATTTTTTATGTCACGCCCTTTATGCCTATATATCGCCTACGAAAATATACGCTGTCATTCTGCTGTACTAAATATTTGTGTTCTGTGGCCGTCACGTCAACGGATAATGTCACTCAGTTGTCAGCTCACTACTCGACTGTCGACAGTAGGGAAGTCCATTTAAAAAATAAATCGATTATTTAATTTAATTAATACATTGATTTTACTCGATGTATTGGTTAGAAACATTGATGTATTCTCCCCCAGCATATGAAACTTTCGATATCTACTAATATATTCATTTTAATGACATGATGAACAAGGCAATTTTTACCTACATTAAATACACAAAGTATCAAACGTACAGTGAAATTAGTCTCGAGAAATTTTTGCATATGTTATGTAGTGGTGTGTATATTACTCAGATCTTAGAGCGCGTTTCCACTATATCGTTCTGGCCTATACAAAAATGTTTCGATATCCTAACATTACTATTTAATTTTATACTTATCCCTAGCAACACTCTGATTTTTGTTTTCAATAAAAACAAGCTTTTATTTTAAAGAAAAAGGTTGTGACTTTATAAAAAAAAAGGTGTGTGTGCGATTCACACACGATAGAAGTGAAACTTCAAAGAGGAGAGACCGATATTTAATTTTTTTTTTTTCCTTTCATCTAGGTTTTTAAAACTGCGGGGCGTCTACGGGGGGGTCAAAATTTTTGTTATTTTTGGCCTAGGACGCACCGTTTCCGAGATATTTCAATCTAAAGCAAAAAATCGTCACTTGATAGTGGAAAGTGGAAACACGCACAAAACCAGAATAAACCAGTTTACGCTGTCCGTACCATACGCTACTACAAACGCAAAAATTTCTCCAAGCTAATTTACCTGTATATATTTAGATAAGGAATAATATTGTTTTGTTCAAAAAAAGCTTCGTAAATTACCGTTTTTTTATATGTAAAAAGATAAAAATGGTTACTGTGGGTTATTCTTAGGCGGTAGACATAGACCATCATGGACTTTTTTAGAGATCTTTTCAAGATATATAATTTCGTAGTACATTATTTTAGTTACTCTCTCTATTGATGAAAACTAAAAAAGCATTAAAATCCATTCCTAACTTTAAAAGATTTAAGCGTACAAGAAAAAATACTTTATTTTAAACTATTAAAAGATTATAATGTCTGTATAGCAAAGTCTACCAAAAAGCGAAAGGAAATTTGTTCCGACCGGGGTCAAATGAGATTTGCACTGAAGATCGTAGAACAGTGGAGTGTAACACACAACTTGACAGTGAACCCATCGAAAACAGAGATGATTATGTTCAGAAACAAACGTAGTCTAGAAAATTTTGGAACGCAACTAGCTCTTACCAAAGAGGTCAAATACCTAGGAGTAGGAGTAGAGTACCTGTCCAGTATTAGGCCAGTAGACTTCTGTGGAATAAGTACATCGATGAAAAGCTAAACAAAGCCTGCATTGTCTTCTGCCAATGCAAACGGCTACTCGACAAAAGCTGGGGACTATCACATGAACAAATTGCAGCAATTTCAGCGACTCCCGTGCTCTGCGGTCACTGGTTGTATGCGCACAACACCAACTGGTGGCTCTTGGTTTGCCCCCTGGCTGGTTGTCGACTTTACATGTAAACTACAAACTGAAATAACTTTTAAACGCAATGTTTAAAAAATAATTGTCAATGATATTCCCAGCCTACAATAATTCCAACCATGAGATACGCAAAGCTGTAAAAGAGTCCCATACATGCTTGCCATTCTCCTTTATTTCTGACATTAAAAAACGTTGAGAAAATATATTATATATAATATAGCTTATAGTTCCCAATGCTTGATGTCTTAGCTAAAAACTTATACTAAACTAGAAACAATAAACTGTCAAGTCTACTGTAATCCAAGCGGTTCCGCTAATCACTTTCGATGTAGCCGCAATCGAGAAAAGGTGCTCACTGGGCCCAGGGCACAGATGAGCCCCCGATAGTCATATAGAGTAGCTGCAAAAGCGACACCAACGGGGCACTTAGTATTAATTCGTTTTGATGAACTCATAAAGGCTAGCTTTCGTTTGAATTACTCAATTCAAATCAAAGCAATCTTTATTTGCCAACGAAGTGTACATAATAATAATTTATCTCCACTTAGTAGGCTTCTTCCCCCCCATTGCAAATTTGAGAGAGAGTAGAGAAGAATATATTATTTAGTACAAGCATTTTAGAATAAGGAGATAAATGAATCAAAAATATCTAGTATAACAATTATTTATGTTGAGTATATTCAACTAGCTGTGATTATTTTTTTGGCTTTTATCAAAACAGAAAAAATCTAATGTCGGTTTTTAGGTTAAAATTCGATCTACTGAAAGGTTCGATTAATAAATGCTACGTATCAATTGTTGGGTCCGAAAAATCGATCTTACGATTTATCGATGTCAAATCGCCATGCCTACTCACCATTCATATTACCATAACACTCTGGGCTCTGACTAATTATTATACAGTTTTCTGTGCTTAACACTTTAAGACGAGCAATTGAATAACAGAGAGACATTATAGAGTAAATTTCATTACGTACTAATATTCTCCCTGAAACTAACTGGTGTGCATTACGTTATACAGCACACAATTACAAAAATATCATATTATACCTTAAAACTATTGACTTATTGACCATGAATTTTAATTTGGGATTCATTGGTGGCGGAAATATGTCTACAGCTATATTTAATGGAATAATAAAAAGCAGTATGTATACCTTGCTAATTTTCTTACCTATTATTATGGTTAGAGATTTGAAGTAGATAGTAAATAAATTTAAAATTCGATCAATTAATATAACATTTGAATTTTTGTGTGTTGTGCACACATTAAAATTATAAATTCATTTCAATATGTATATAAATGTAATATAATATCTAATTAATACTTCTAGCTGAATTTTCTCATGTTTTAAAATACATTTTGCATTTGACTGTCTAATTCTAAATTGGGCAATACTATGTGGTGACCAGAATTGATAAACATATATATTACTGAATAAATGACTGACTGCATGAATGGCGTAGTTGGTTCAAGAATGGTTTATGCAGTCGCCACGCCGCTTACTACTATGCTGACTATTGTTGGTTCAACTCCCACATGGGACAACACTTTGTGTGATCAAGAAATTGGTGTTCTGATTCTGGGTGTTGTTTGTGTCTATTTCATGTATGTTTGTAAAATCCCCCATGACACTGGATATATTCCGATAGTGAGAGTTGTTTAAAAAAAATTTGCCATTATGCTGTAACGGTGGTCACAGGCAAACCTGGTCAGGTAATACAGTAGTATGTAGTACCCATAGAATGCAGTATTTTTCAAATTAATAATAATATACTATCAAAGGTAAAAAATTTGTAAATACAGAATCATCATCATCAACAGCCTATAACAGCCCACTGCTGGACATAGGCCTCTCCTTAGAAACAAAGTTAAGTAAATATATATACATTAAAAGCTGGTACCCGCAACTTTGTTTGCGTAGAATTTGAAAAGCGCTGCCTTAGTGATGTAGTATAGTATGCGAAAACAGCCTAAGTTACTCCTAATATAGACAGCTACCTGGTAGTAAAATATTATCAAAATCTGTTCAGCCGTTTTGAAGACTACCTGGAACAGACAGATAAAAATATTTAAACTAGTTTTTAGGCACAGGTATCATGCAAATAAATGTGAATGTAAATGTGAGAAGAAGAAAACCTATTATTAAAAAGACACTTCTATTTTATTTGTTTGTATAGACATGTAATTTGCACCACATATACAGAAAATGCATATGCCTCTTTGTGCTTTTGTATACTAATTGAATGTTTAATTGCAGATGTACATCCTCCTTCAAAAATTTGGGTGTCAGGCCCACATATTGAACATCTTAAATATTGGACTGAAAATGGAGCTACTGCAACAATTGAAAATGGTGTTGTATTTGATAATTGTGAAATAATCTTCCTAGGAGTTAAACCCGACAAATTGGATACAGCTCTGAAAACTATAAATAAGACAGCTAAAAATCTGACAAAGAAAGTCTTGTTCGTGTCCATGCTAGCTGGAAAGAGTATTGACACAATCCAAAAGGTCTGTTAGTTAATAAAATTCTTATTGGCTTTAACTAAATGACTAAAGCATATTTATTATTATTTATTAACATATTTCAGGCCATCACTTGTTATCTCAGCAGTGCTAGCATTAGTGTAGTGCGCATTATGCCCAATACTCCAATGGCTGTTGGTGCAGGGATATGTATATACACACCAGATTCGACAGTATCTGACACTGAATGTCACATAATAGAGACACTTCTTGGCAGTTCTGCTCTGTGTGAAAAAGTGCCTGAAAATTTGATGGGATCTCTGGGTGCACTGATAGGTTGTGGTCCAGCTTTTGTGAGTATGCTTTGTTAAATATAAATTTTAGGCAAGAACTAACATATTTTGTATTTATTTTAAGAAGTAATTTAGAAGTTTTGTTTACAAAGTGACTAAATAGACGCTAATATCTACACTCAAGAGCAGTGATTCAGGTCATATAAACATAGGTACCTGAAATTTGAGAAACTAAAAATTCCAGCTTACTGAAATAAATTGTGTTTATAGACAATTAAATACTCTTGATGTGCAATCAATCAATATTCTGGCTTGTTGTAAAGCAGTAGATTAAGCATTCAAATATGAAAAAAGTGAAATGACTTTTGTACATTCCATTCTGTCATATAAAAAAGAATGTGAACGGCATTTCTAGTGTTCAATATTCATAGCAGCAGCAACAGCAGCAACAGCCTATAATAGTCCTATAATATTCATAAATATTCTGTCTGTCTCTCTGTGGCATCATAAAAAAAATCCGCATCGAAAATGGTCCATCCATTCGGGAGAATGGATGGACCAATTTCGATGCGGATTTTTTTGTTTAAAAGACGATGTGATCGAGATGGTTCTTAGCTATAAATTTTGACTATTATCTGCTCACTTCCTAGGTGATGAAGGGATCTCACTAAAATCCACAGGTCCGATTGATCTGAAATCTGGTATACTGTTAATTTGATGGTATTTCCATGACATGGTAATCTGGAACTATCTACTGCATCAAGAAGTACACGGGAAAGCCAACTCCTCAGAAAATTACAGCATATATACTATGTTGGGCTTCATAGAACAGTCTCATTGAGCAGTTGTTGTTTTTTAAAGTTTTTTTGTGTCTGGGTTTTTTAATGATGCTATTATTACTATTCTATATCTATATCTTCTACCACTCTTTTTGGTGCATGACTTTTTTTCTGAAAGTAAGGATTTTAGTAGTAATTAGGTATCGCCTACAATATCCTTGTCACCACAATGTAAATAATTTAGTACTTTTATCAAGCTAATTATCAAAACTCGAATCAACTGTTGAAAGTCTAGGATTTTTTTACACTAGAATTCACAATTTTTTCTTATAGAAACTGTATGTAAGCTTTCAAAATTAAATTGCAGATGTACTTAGTGATTGAGGCACTAGCAGATGGAGCCGTGAAACAAGGTGCGCCAAGAGCATTGGCGCTACGCCATGCTGCTCAGATGGTTGCTGGTAGTGGTCAGATGGTACTGAAGTCAGGCAAACATCCTGGCTTATTGAAGGATGAAGTTTGTTCTCCTGGTGGATCAACGATTTGTGGCATCAGTGCTCTCGAAAATGGATCTCTTAGGTTAGTAGAAATATTATTCAACACTCATGTGTGGAACCGGAAAGTTATTATTGCAGTCGCCCAATTGAGACAGTGGCACTATGCTTTAACGAGTAGCGAAACAATTAGATTTTTCTAGAAATAGTTTCGAATATTCTAGACATCGATACGATATTCTAGTTTTTAGAGTGGTGTTGAGGCAGTCAATTTTTCCGAACATTTTCGGGAAAGTTCATGAGCCCCTTTGAACTTTCCATAGTATCAAGACATTCTAGTTTAGTGATGCTGCAAAGAATAGTGAACTGTTACTTATTTCAGATAAGTGTGTTCATTGCATGTACTCATATTTTGTACTGTCAGGATTTAATAGAATAATAACATATAATATTTTTAACAAAACCGTTTCGTAAGCTCTTGGAACTCGCAAATTATGTCTTGATTTGAATCACATATTTAAGTACAGGTTTATGATAAAATTCGTGGTCATTTTTTATGATTATGTACAATATAGTCTGATATATTATCGTCTTGAATGAAACTTAACAGTTACTAATAATATAGATATCTCATCTCGCAGGGATGTGGTGTACGTATTATTTATTAATCCATCTAGTACAGAAAGTAACATCAATAATTGTTAGTTGGACTTGTGATATATGTAAATAAATAGTGGATATAAATAACTTAATTAAAATTAAATAGTATATATTATAACGATCTGTAATGAACTGTCAGCTGGCGCGACCGTCCCGCGGGGTGACAGACAGTGGCGGGGGCGAGGTAGCGCGTCATTCTAGTACACGGCTACACACGAAGAGAAGCGTTTCCCTTCCCCGCTACACCACCCGCTACCCGCGACATCTTGAGTACCTCGTCCCCGCCACCATCTGTCACCCCGCAGGACGGTCGCGCACGACGTTGATGGACTGCGAATATACCTACATCCAATAGTGAAGTTGTCGTTTTACTGCGAGTCCCGGCTGCTCCCGATATTCTTCTGGACTAAGTGCCAGTTCAAACCAATAACAGTAGAAAAAGAAGACATTATTATGGGTTTTGTCATTAATGTGCCTGTGTAAAAATTAATGTACCTAATTAATTTATAGTTTTTTGTTCAAAATAGCATATAATTAAAATGCCTAGTAAAGGAATGTTCTAAATATATTTTATTTATTGCAGAGCGACGATGATAAACGCTGTTGAAGCAGCGACACACAGGACTAAGGAGCTCGGAAAGTAATTAAAACGATTAAATAGCAATAGCACTAGAAATTTCAAGTATATTTAGGTAATTAAGGAAAATTGATAATCTCAGTAATGTCGAATCTCTAAAATAGTATGTAGATCTTGTGCTTTTAAGACTGTTCTTAGGCTAAATCGAATGCAGTGCATCTCTTGTTTACACCTATAATAGTGTTTTATATTTATCAGAGAATAAGGAAAGAGATATGGTAAGAATATTTATTTGACAACTTATACAATGTATGGTGTAAATTATTATGAAACTATTGTCCATTCATTATTTTTATAGTTTTTCCGACTTCAACTTTAAACAAACTAATTCTGCATTTTTCAAATCTTAATTAATTTACTAACTTTTTCTTTAAATAAGAGCGACCCAGCTGTACTCGGCGAAGGATAGACTTATAAAACAAAGCTTCATTTTAATACAAAAATTAATTTGAAATGTTAGAGCCACTCCCAAGTTACACAAAGTATGTATATTCATGACGAATGACGGCAAGGCTAAATGAAGTTCTTTAAAAGAAATTTGCGTTGCCTAGGAAAGGATTGACTGAAGAAGGCATTACTTTCCTTTTATATATTAAAAGTGTCTTAGAAATCGAGTGATATTACAATGGTGCTGCCGTGAAGATTTATGTCATACACTTAACTACATAACTACACTTATTTGTAAGTAACATAACATGTATCCTTTTTACTGAAAAGTTTACTCACGATTTAGTGTATATTACTCATGATAGAGCACCACACTTTTACAAATGAATCTCATTAAGTTTAGATAGAACTTATGAAAGTATAAATTATTTACCGCTAATCTGCTGTAGGTACAACTGAACTTGTACGTCGGGGTACTAGGGCTTTCCTTTCTAGGGTATACCTGGTTCCCCGGCTTCTGGTACCTGGTGACGGCGCACTGTGGAATATTTCGGTGTGTTTCGGATTAAAAATCTGTAACTCCGTCAATTCGAAAGATAAAGCTATCAAATTTTGTTCTAATATAAAGTAATACATAAGAGTTCATATAAGCAATGTTTGATGAATTGGAATGATGCGTATTTTTTTTAATTGATGAAGAAAGTCACAATCATTAAAAATAATATTCATTTATTGAAATATATTTTTTGACGTGACAACGTCTTATAATTCGATGGAGCCGGCTGCACGCACGAAAAAACATGACTCATGCGGCGTTACCTCGCTCTGAGGCGTTCCATTTAAGGCGTGAAGTGCAAGCGAGAGCGCGGAACGAGTGACAAAGAGGCACAATCGGCCTCCGCGTTCGGCAGCGTTCGACATCTGTCTCTCTCCTACTTGAGTGAGCGATGCGTCCGCGTGGATAGCTGCTACTCGTATACAATAATACATTTTTGAAAAATGCAACCATTCCATCAGTATTTTCTTATGACGTTGTCACGTTCAACTATCGTCAGTAAACCGACTTTACAGACAACCGATTTTTTTACAAACATATCGTATGTGTATTTTTTAATTCTAATAACTCAATTAAGATGACTAACATTAAAATGATTATATAAAATTAAAAATGTAAAAATACCTATAACACTACGCTTAAATATAGAAACATATTGAATTAAAATTATCGCAATATATATATTTCTTTATTGATCAGCAAGATTGACATCTTACAGCCTGTGAGCTTCAGGATCTGAAATAAGTTCATTAACCTTGAGAAGGTGTAAAGTATCTTCATCGAGCTCCTTAACATTTTTTGCATATGGTTTTCTTATGCTCGTTATATATGGATCTGAGGTGTAAAGTAGTGTATTCAACACATCTTCGTTTGTAGCTATTCAAGAGCATTTCCGAGCATGGTGTAAGCGAAATTTTTTATAGTCCTTATTGCGAGATTCTTGAGCATCTTCTGAAAGTTGTCCAATTGGTAATACTGCGAAATGGTTTATGATACTCTCTCCGTGAATTAAAATTTTGTGGACAGATGATGGCATGTAATACCAACTATATTTACTCACGTATATTCTTGCTGTTTCCAGAGCATAATTACCAAATTTCTTACTATCTACCACTATATCAGATGACAAAGCCTGTAAAATTATGTATAACCGTTTAATTAAATCAATGTCAACTCCTGTGATATCAGCAGAACAGGCAGCATTGTAAAAAAATCTTCTAGTAGTATTGCCATCATTACTATTTCCCGTCCCCTGTCGTGGTTTGTCAATATTTAGACCCAACTCTTCACGAAATCGCTTCTGTACTTCAGCCTTTTTTTCTTGTTTGAGTCTTTTTTTTTTCTTCGCTTGTAGCAGACCACGTTTGGAAAGATAAATTATATGATATGTGTAATATCATTTCCATGCAACGAATCCAGGCATGTAATGTGGATAATCCGTATTGATAAGCATTTTCATTTTCAGGCCTGGCCGTTACTTTTGTTAAATCATTCATTTGTCTAGGAGTTGCTCCGCATATTGTACATGTGGAACTAGAAGGCGTATCTGTTAAAACTTGTGCCACTTTTCCGTCTATCATCGTCAAAAAAAGTTCATGCTTGACTTGAACTCCCACGCCTTCTTTATTAATTACTGATGGAAGCAAAGTTTGTATTTGATTTTTTATTTCATCTACAACAGATTTAGTTTTTTCTGGTGTTTCTTTGCAAAATTCTATAGATATAGGCCGACAAAAACGAACAGATGAAGGCACTGGATTTTGCCATATGATGGCGCCTGTACCCTCGTCAATTAATCTGATAGGCACAAAAGAAGTAATAAATAAATTTGTATATTTGTATTTTAATAATATTAAATGTTTTTGTCCATTCTTGTAAACTGTATCTATACATAAAATTCGAGCTGCAGTGTGATCTAATAGATCTTGAACTCTCAATATTTTTGCATAAGTATTTGTGATTTTGATTGTTGATGATGGTGGATAGCATCTCTGTTTCATTTCTTGTATTTTGTAGTATGGTGGAACTAAAGAACAGTTTCTTTCATCTGTAACGTTCCTGAGATACAGATATTGTACCTTTGTTAGATCCAAGTCGATGAAGACACTTAAGGCTTGTTCATCTGTAAGCCCTGTAATTATTTTTGCATCATCTAATTGATTTATAACGAAAACCTTTTTCTCTGCATCAGCCAACCTTAATTTTTCAACAGCTTTTGTTTCAGTTCCTTCTCCTATAGAACGCAATCCTTGAAGATATGCGCTTAGAATATGCTTCAAACCATATTCATTTAGCAAAACGGTGTTTTTCCTTTTTTTGCTCGATTCTGAAGAGTCTCCATATGACACACACGGTTTTTCTCTTTTACCAGAAGAAGTAGACGGTGTAGAGTCCGTTGACACGTTTCAGAATATTAGAGAAGAATATTCAGAATCCAACCAATTGGTGTTCTTTCTTAAAAATGTATTCTTATTGCGTCCTGCTTCACTCCAGCGTTTATTAAACGATGGGATGATATCCCTTTGAATATGACCAATAATAAAACATATATTGTCTTCTGAAACTTGTTTTCCCTCCAAATATGTTGAAAGTGCCGCAGTCGTTTTTCCGCCTTCTATATAAGACACTATTTATATAAACTATTTCTATATAACTCACGTTTAGTACAAGTTAAAAGTCGACATATTTTTTCACTGCCCTTTTTATATTGTTTCAGAATGTGGGAATATTTCAGATATCTATTTTCTCACGAAAAATGACATCGAAATGATAAAAACTTAACAATATCAAATAATTAATTCATAAAACGTATCACAAGTTATTGATAATAAAAGTAAACTACGAAACCGCATTTGATAACGATTTCCGTTCCCAGACTAGTATTCGATTTTTTCCCATATCTTCGTAAACCGCAATATAATTTATATGTTTTAGGTGAGTAACTAACCTATGAATTACCATTAAATTCAAAGCATCGGTAAACAACTCTAAATGGTAAAAGCTTCGACGAAGTTGAGGAAGGAATATTTTTTTCCCATTTTTTCTTTAAATTGGTTTTTAATTATATATTCGTATTAAAAACAATCAATTGTATTTATTTATTTCCTCTGATAGATGAGCTTTATAAAAATATACAATACCTTATACCTTTCATTTCAAGTTTTAAAACTATTTCACGTTGAAAAACGTTAATAAACAACTAAATATTTCCCAATTGCTTAAACGTTTAACTTTACTACATGAAAAAAAAAATATATACCAAATACAATAGGAGTTAGGTACGCTGCAGAATATTAAACCTCGACTTCTGAACTTTTAAATTACATTCATAAAGTGCCCAATTTTAATCAGTGATAAAAATCAATTTTGATATGCCTTTGTTCTACCATATTCCACAGTGCGGCGTGCGGTTTTTGGTCGGTAGGAGTCCGACATAATCACCCACTGGTGAGTGGTATCCGAGGGGGGCTCCGCACAGAAAGAAAAAGGTACAACTGAACTACCGCCGCTTACTACTACGCCGAGTGTTTTTGAGTCCGATCCCCATATGGGACGACAACTTGTGTGATCCACAAATCGTTGTTCTGAGTCTGGGTGTTCTTTGTGTCCGTTTCATGTATGTTTGAGAAGTCCCTCGCGACACAGGATATATGCCTAATAGGGGAGTTGTCTCTAAAATAAAAAACTACGAAATTCCAATCTCTACTAATTTCTATAAATATACTTCATCTAGAATAAGACCATCTCACCAAAAACATTTTTATGTAAAATGTTGTTTAGTCGAGACATAGGCCCGTATTTTAAAAGGTGTCTCAGTCGTGAATCTAGTCGTAAAACTAATTTTAAGTAGAGATTTTATTATTGAACGTCACTTAAAACGAGATTCACCGATTCATACTTAAGTGAGTGATAGCTTATTTTAGAACGATGTTTATGTCGAAATCATTACTCAGGTATAGATTTTGACAGCTGTGATCTTTGTTTACGTGAGACAAGCTGAAACTAGTCTCAAGCGGTGATTTCTAGGGCATTTAGGGGAAATGAATGTGTTTTACGATGATTTC